TTATTAATGTTAATTTTGTTTTAACTTTGGAAAATTATATATAAAACCTTGATCAGTTGAGTCCAAATTGACTTCAAAATTACTAAATTTAAGCAATCGAGGTCCTTTTTTTCTTAAAACTATTTTTTTACTAAAAAAAAACAAAATTGTAGTATATTCTAAAGCAATTATTGTATGTTTGGTTATTTCACATATATGAGTAAATTATTGTCTGTAATTTTTAAGTAAAAATTGATAAGTGCGATGTCTCCTTTGACTTTGTCATAGTGGTCTTCTCTGTCTCATTATTCATCACTTTAATTCCAACCTTAAAATAAATACGTGCCACACATTAAAATATTTTTTAAATTTTATGATCTTAAGCATATTATGTAAAAATATTAAAATAAAATTTATTTAAATATAAAAAGTGACATGCTTTATCCAACAAACTTAAAAAGATCGAAATAAGTGCACATATAATTTAAAACAAAAAAGTATATTAACAACAACCACATAATGTCTTCATTTTGAAAAACAAAGTAAATAAAACACAAATAATGTTAATATGTTACGTATAATTAACTAACACATGATGTTACTCATAGCCCTATTGAATTTGTCAAAGGGCCATAAAAATAGAAATAAATTGTAAATAGCGCTATAAACAACTTTTTTTTTATCTAGTCTATATGTCTAACAAATGCTTTAAGTATGTATTATGCCATGGACTTTTCACAATGTATACTATACAACATTTAATTTTAATTTTAACTAATTAATAGTATATGATGGTATTGATATATATTGTTATGCTTTAAATGAAATGTCGATTTCTGGAATGAGATCTCTCAATAAAGCCAAAATAATTGGTTATAAAGTTGGAAAAAACATAATTGAGAAAGAAAATAGAACAATGAGTATATACATATATGGATAATTTAATTGAGAAAGTAAATAGAAGTACTAATTTGAGAATAATAAATATGTGACCTTACTAGAGGGTACTGGTACTGTATTGTTCAACGTGGGCTTTGAATGCACAAAGCAATGCAAGGGGCCCATTTGATATTGACAAATTTGGACTTATATTGGACTTTTGCAAATTTAAGAGCCCTATTGAATTTGTCAAAGGGCCATAAAAAATGGAAATAAATTGTAAATAGCGCTATTAACGCCCAAATTTGCAAAAAAAAAGAGTGAGATAGTACTTACGAATTCAGCACAAATTAGTAGTTTTTATTTCCGGACTATTGACATTTGACAGCCTTAAAAATATTAATTGAATACACCCTTGATCTTGCAATAGGAGTGAAATACATCCCTAAATTCTCTTTAGGTTTAGGGTATTTTCAACATTTCTTTCGGCTTATAATTAGTTTGAAACCACTTTTTATGTTATGATGCATATCAGAGGTGTATCTAAGTTTAGTTAGTAAAGTATATGGGTGTTTTTAAGGTTGTTAATAGTTCGAGGACGAACTAATAATTTGCGCCAAGTTCAGGGATGTTTTCAATACTTTTCTCGTTACAAAATATAGTTGTATTTTCATCTTAAATTGTAGTGGATCATAATGGAATACATTGTATCCGAATGTATATAATATCTCTATAGTAAAATAATTTACATTCACACATAATAATATTGAAACATATTGTATCCACTTGCATCTATGTAATATCTTTATTTAACTGTATTCACACGAATAATAAATATATCCACACATGTTTGCTACTTTCTTTATCCTAATTCATGTGACACGTTTTGTTTTATTGAAAGTCAAACAATATAAATTTGACGGAAATTTTTCCAACCAAACCACTAGAAATCATTAAGGAAACAATATAAACTTATAAATGGAACAATTATCCACACAAATCACGAATAAGAACTTGACTGTTTTATTATTAGATTAATGATTTCAATTAGTTATTTTATTAGATTCTTGTATTAATTTAGGTACAACTACACAATTGACAAAATTTTAGAGCTAGATTCTTCATCTAAACCAAGTGTTGAACAACGGATATGCGTTGTACATGGTCTATAATTATACATAAAAAAAAATTAGCTCAATGTTATTTAAATTCTTTTAACTAGATGTTATCTTAATGATGTGAAAAATATGAGAGAAGAGAAAAATACTAAAAAGTTATATTTAAGAGAGCAAATTTATCATATCACCCCTATATCTTGCTTGTGCTCTTGGCTCTGCTAGGATCAAGGGTATATTTAAATATAGATTAATGCCGACTTTATATATACAATGTGATTTTCTGATGAAGGAATTTTAGATACCCCTTTCACTTCTCTAGCTCTATTCATATGACCATCACTATTAGCATTTATAATCACCACCATCAAAGCATCATTATCATGATAACTATCAATGACTATCGACAATTATTCCATTAACCATATGCATCAATATATATCGCCAACCATCATTATCATCACACTATTTTTATCTATTATTGACATCCACCACAATATAATTATCCGCTAACTACCAATTACTAAGCAATATAACCAACCATGCATCACCGTAAACAACTATGGTCAACCACATCATAATAACTACTATACACAACCACCGCACCAAGCTACACCACCACTTCATTTGGCACCAACAATCACCATTGTTAGCCACATCACCATCACCAACCACTATATAATCTTTAAAAAATATTCCATTGATAGATAGATTATTAGGAATAGTATTTTACTTGAATATATATATATATATATATTTAATTAAGACAAATTCTATACACTCATATGTTGAATACTAACTTCTCTTATTATTTAATATATTCAAATCGTAATATAACATCTTAAAATGTGTGTTCATATTCTAATGTCTTAATATTAATACTTATCATAATATTAAAATTAAAATATGCTTTTCAATTTTATTAAATTTAATGCTTTGAAAAATATATTAGATGATAAGTAATATTTAATAGCAAGGGTAAAATAGACACACAAAATAAATTATCTCTTGATTTTCTGAATTGGACATTGTTGCCGACATGTTGGATAACTAATATTAGTATAGTGAATAACTATTGTTGGGCAGAAAGACTATAGTGATTGATAATGAAAATGAAATTCAGAAACTTTTCAATCGAGAAAAAATAATTCAAAACATTTAATTTTGATATTAATACAGAATTAACTAAAGATGCGAAAAGAAAGGATAATAATACTTTCTTTGTCTTAAAAAGAATATCAGGTTTTCAAAAATCAATATCAATTCACCTTTTCAGTCTGAATTTACCGATTGATTTCTTTGAATAAAAAATAATAATTAGAGATTGATTTCTTGAATTTTGATGTTTGTTTTATTTTGCTTATAATTTATTTTAGTACTTTTCTTTCTTCAATATTTTTATCATAACTTTTAAATTTTGTATTTCTTTCAAATTTGTTATGAAAAATGATATTAAAAAGTATATCGAAACTCCAAGTTCTCTACCTCGCAAAAGTAGACATAAAATCTGTGTACACCTCACTCTCCCCAACTTATTGTATGTTATTGTTTTTATCATTTATTTCTTGAATTTTGAAATATAATTAATATAATTATATACCATGATTTCACCAAAGTATAGTTTGTAGTTTGTACTTCCTCATTTTTTTTTAGAACGAATGAATTTCACTACAAACCATATTAATGTTACTATTCCTTATGTTCTTTTTTAGTTGTTATAATTTCTTTTTTAGAGTCAAACGGTAAGAATTTTGACTAAATATTTCACGATGTATTTTCATCATATTCACATGCAAATAATTACTACAATTTATAGTACTTTTGGTAAAAATTTTAAATATCTAAATTTTAGTTTAAAAATATCAAATTAATCTAATCTAATTTAATTTTGATTAGTCAAATTGACTTTCGAAAAGCACAACATGACAACTAAAAACGAGGGAGTAACACACAACATATATATAACATATATTTTTAAGGTACTATTTCTCTGGTACTACATTTTATAATGAGATTTAAGCATGTAACAATCAATTAAATTCTGCCTAAGACCTATTGATTAATTTAATCTAAAAATTATGTTGACCAATATACTCAATTAAATTCTATTTTTAAAAAAAAAACAACCTAAAACCAGGAAGGTATCACCCACGCGCGCGTATACTGACCCGAAGCGTTTCGACTCTGCGAAAAAGGTTTGACTTTTTCTTAGCTGAAACGGTTCTTTCTCCAATTAAAACATGCCACGTGTAGACTTTTTCCAGCTGACTCACAGATCAATAGGCGTTGGATCTGTTTCTTTCTTTTTTTCAACCCCCCTAGTTAAAGCTCGCATTTAACCCCTTCACCACACTCCCCTATCACCCCCTACCCCCCCCCCCCCCCCCTTAGTTTTTTTTTTTTTTTAAAAATAGATTAAAAAAATTAAATAAATCTTTACTATACATATAGACTGAAAAGAGAAGAAAGCTAGAAAGAGTTTTGGGGGAGAAGAAGAAGAAGAACAAAGGTACTAACAATTTATTATTATTTGTAATATTTTTTTATTTTTTTTCTTCTTCACTCATACATTTCATTAATTACATAGGAAATTAATTATTTTTGTGTATTCAATTCTCTCTAACAACATTTTTTGCTTTTAATATTTTTTGGTATTGGGAATTTAATACTTTTGTTTGTGCTTTAATGGGGGATTTTTGAATACTATAGAACTAGCTGACTCCCCTCTATCTTTTTTCAAGTGTGGAGTCAAATACTTTTGTAATTTAGTAGTCTTCTCGTCTAACTTTATATGTAAAAAAAATAACTCCTTTCTATCTTTGTTTATTTTGTGATCTAATGGATTTTTACTCTCTTTAGCTTCAATGGTGAGTTTAACAAACTTTTCTTTATATTTCATGTGTGATATATGATTTTGTTTGTTCTAACTTTTTTTTTCCTACTTTTTTTGGCAGGTTTGACTTGGGAGAGGAAGACATATAACCTAACCCTAGTCTGAAAAAATTACAAAAAAATTTCTACTTTTTTTTTTGAAAATTCAAAGTGAAAAAGATGTTTAGTGATTGTCAACTATTTTCATCCATGGGGATGGGAGGAAATAATAATAATAATGTTTCTTCCGATACACTCTACTCTTCCTCGATCCAAAACCCTAATTTCAACTTCATGAATATGGGAGGAAATAACTTGCCTTTCAACATTTTTTCTCCCAATATCATTCCAGTAAGTATTTTTTTTTTCTATATTTTAATTTATCCTTAATTTGCATGCATGTTTTTTTATTTTTTTTAAATTTTTCTTTAGAAGGAAGAAAATGGATTATTCAAAAGCAAGGAAGAAATGGATAGTGGTTCAGGAAGTGAACATATTGAAGGAATGTCTGGAAATGAACTCGAACCCGAACAACAACAACAACAGCAACAACAAGCGGGAAAGAAGAAACGTTATCATAGACACACTGTTCGTCAGATCCAAGAAATGGAAGCGTAAGTTAGCAAAAAAAAAATTATGTTTGATTTACAAGATCTTGATTAAGTAATTAACAATTATCTGAGACTTTGTGAAATTTTAGGTTATTTAAGGAATGTCCACATCCAGATGACAAGCAAAGGCTTAAATTAAGCCAAGACCTTGGCCTTAAACCACGTCAAGTCAAATTCTGGTTTCAAAATCGAAGAACTCAAATGAAGGTGCGCATGTTAGCATCCCTACCACCCCACAACCCGATTTACTTATTTACACTGTCAGTATATATATGTTGACGCGGCAAAGAGGAAAACCACACATAAATGTTCTTTTTTTTTCTTTTCAGTCCAGCTGTTAAAATTAAACTTTTAATTTTCGTGCATGGGGGGGGGGGGGAGGGGGGGGATGCACAATTTTCCATAAGTTGTGTGTGTTATTTACATAGGTTAAATTTTGGCAAAGTCCAAACATCACTAATATTATGAAAGCTGTAGAGAGAGTGACTACATTTACTATGGGGGTTGCTTTCATTTTCAATTCTATGGCCATTGCCTTCCATTAATATGCGCCTGGCCCTAGTTGTTGAGTGTGCAGTCAACCCCCTTTTTTCTCTGCAACATTGAGCTTCCATGAGGAGACACTATCTTTAATGCACCCCATTTAAGGTTATGGACATGAAAAATGAGAAAGAGAGACTTTTTACTACTCCTTCCTTCCGAGATCTGTTTATTTTTACTTGTTCAGTATTGATTTGATACAACTCTTAAGGAGTGATAAATCGGATGGTATTTTTACTTAAAGACATTGGGAAATGATAAATTATCTCATGGTTTTCAAATAGAATGAGTAAAAATGGACTTCTGTTTTTAATATAGCGGACAAATAAAAGAGGACTGAAGAAGTATTGTATTTATCTAAGTATTAAATTAAATATGAATGATGTTAAAATTAGATCTAGAGCAATTCTATGGGTTTAACTAGACACATTTTTTTTTTTGCCAAATTATGTATATATAAGAAGAAGAGAGAAATTAGTGGTGGATAGCTTCACAAATCCGCTAATTTTATATTATTTAGCTATAAATTAGCAACTGAATTAATTTCATAGCTAACTCATATATTTGGAATCTTTACATAAATAGTCTGGTGAACCTATCATTTACTCTTCCTAGCTAATATACATACATTAAGATACATGGTTATACACATATCATACATATATTATACATCTGGGGCTATTTAGATTAATTCTTCTATTTTTTTACTGTGAAAACCCGTTAAAAATGTGTACATATATGTAATAATATCATACTCATTTTGAACTAATTGATTTTAAATATTGAATTCGCATCTAAACTTTAAAATGTGCCTTTATAAAGTTTAGGGATAAGATTCATCGTAGTGCTAATCAATAATTAATTATTGTTTAATGATGTAGGCTCAACAAGACCGATCAGATAATGTGATACTTAGAGCTGAGAATGACAATTTAAAGAATGAGAATTATCGACTGCAAGCAGCTCTACGCAGTATTATGTGCCCTACTTGTGGAGGTCCTGCCATGCTTGGAGAAATGGGATATGATGAACAACAACTCCGCCTCGAAAATGCCCGTCTCAAAGAAGAGGTAATTTTGTTTTTCTAGCATTCCTTCTGCATTTAAGTTATATACACTGACAGTATTATTAGTTTTTTTTTTTTTTTGGCGCATTTATAGTGCTTAGCTAGACAAATTGTATACTTTGCCAAGAATTCATATAGTCATATGACCTAAAAGAGGAACAATTTATTAGATCACTACTTCTTTGCATCATCATACTTGCGTTTCAACGTATCAGACTGATATTCATTGGATTGATGTACAGTTTGAGAGAGTATGTTGCCTTGTATCTCAATACAATGGCCGCGGACCAATGCAAGGACTAGGAGCACCAAATCCACTTCTTCCACCATCATTGGAACTCGATATGTCCATTAATAATTTCTCAAGTAAATTTGAGGACCAGCCAAACTGCACGGATATGGTTCCTGTTCCATTACTCATGCCTGATCAAAACAACTCTCAATTCTCCGGTGGTCCAATGATCTTGGAAGAAGAAAAATCTCTTGCTATGGAACTCGCTCTTTCATCTATGGATGAATTAGTTAAGATGTGCACAAGCTCTGACCCGCTCTGGATTAGGGCTTCTAATGATTCTGGAAAAGAAGTGCTTAATGTTGAAGAATATTCTAGAATGTTCCCATGGCATGTTGGAGTCAAGCAGAATGGCAATGAGCTTAAAATTGAAGCAACTCGTAGCAGCGCTGTTGTTATTATGAATAGTATCACTCTCGTTGATGCCTTCTTGGATACAGTAAGTTATATACACTCACAATATAGAAAATGTTTTAGCTAATTTGTTATTATGTTTACCATGTTACTAATAATACTATCATTATTTTACACAAATAGCTGGTCGGATTCATTGTTTACTTTCCGAACCAATATACATACATTACATTAATTATGCATGGTCATACATATATTCTATATGAAGTATACTTATATTAGACATTTGTCAGCTATTTTAAGTTTATGCGGTTAAATGGGCAGTAATTTGGATTAATTTTTTTATTTTTTTCCAGAATAAATGTATAGAGCTTTTTCCATCTATCATTTCTAGAGCCAAAACAATTCAAGTTGTAACTTCAGGAGTTTCTGGACATGCCAGTGGTTCTCTTCAATTGGTAAGAAAAAAAATAAAACTCTTCATCATTTGTCATGTGTATATATTATTAAGGTGACATTTTTTCTGGACGGACTAAAAAGGAAAGGGTGTCACATAAAATGGGACGGAGTGAGTAATTTTTTGTTTGTTTTGTTTTCAGATGTTTATGGAAATGCAAGTTTTGACACCCTTAGTGTCAACAAGAGAATGTTATTTCCTGCGTTATTGCCAACAAAATGTGGAGGAAGGGAGTTGGGCAATTGTTGATTTTCCACTTGATAGTCTTCACAACAATTTCCCACCACCTTTCCCTTATTTCAAGAGAAGGCCTTCTGGATGCATCATTCAAGACATGCCCAATGGATACTCCAGGGTAAGTCTTCCTGGTTTGAAACGAATTCAGAATTTAAAATTTACGAGTTATAATTAAATGTTACATAAATTTGTAAAGAGTTTAGCTGATTGAATTCCTAAAACCTAGAAAGTTTGGCATTACTTGAAAAAACAACATAATGCAATTTTCACATATTATTTGTCTATTTCATTAATGTTTTATCTTAGGACAAGAATATATACTAAAAATAAATTATACTATTAAAGGATTTCTACTATACATCCACCCCCTAATCTTTGTGTTACCTTCTTGCTATTGTCACATTAAGGTGATATATTATTGTTGTGAACCAAGCTGACTCTGTAAGAGATTATGGGTCAGAAATGGTAAATAAGACTGATTCATTTAATATTATCTAGCCGAGTAAAATGTTTGAAGAGTTATGCTATTGTGAAGTCTCTCATCCCCTTTCTTTGCGTTCTGTTTAACTATCGTTAGCAATTATTGTCAATATAATCTAGATTTCTAAGTTGTTACAACCACGACCCAAAATGAAATTTATTGAAGTAAAATGAAAAATTGAAGTTAATTTCTTTTAAAAAATTTAGGTTACATGGGTTGAACATGCTGAGGTGGAGGAAAATCCAGTGAATCAAATATTTAATCACTTTGTTACAAGTGGAGTGGCATTTGGAGCACAAAGATGGTTATCAATTTTGCAAAGACAATGTGAAAGGCTTGCTAGTCTTATGGCTAGAAATATATCTGACCTTGGAGGTACTTGATTATCTATATGATCAATCATAAATTGATTATTTCTTTGCCTTTTTATTCAAATAAGTTCTTGTTTTTAATTTGTGCAGTGATACCATCTCCTGAAGCGCGAAAGAGCTTGATGAATTTGGCACAAAGGATGATCAAGACATTTTGTATGAACATAAGCACTTGTTGTGGACAATCATGGACAGCTCTTTCTGATTCTCCTGATGATACTGTTAGAATCACTACTAGAAAAGTTACGGAACCAGGACAACCTAATGGACTAATTCTTAGCGCGGTTTCAACTTCTTGGCTTCCATATAATCATTTCCAGGTCTTTGATCTCTTGAGAGATGAACGTCGAAGAGCTCAGGTAATTATTTTCATTTTTTAAAGAAAAATAATCGATTTTTCGCCTAAATTGAGTTGATTTGAATTGTACTATGTTTAATGTTGTAGTTGGATGTACTTTCAAATGGGAACTCATTACATGAAGTGGCTCATATTGCAAATGGTTCACATCCAGGGAATTGCATCTCTCTTCTTCGAATTAATGTAAGTCAATGCACTAAATTGAGAAATTATGTATGTGCTAAGAATGATCCAATTGAATCTTCTGAAGCTGATATGTAATATCTCAAGGGCTTAGAAGAGACTCATGATTTATGCTATAATCAAATTAACATTAGTGCAATGTCGCGCTCTATAACATACTTCATCTCTTCTAGTAATCATATTACAAGTTTTTGTTAAATTTCAAAATCCCTAAGTAATAATTTATCATATGATCATCTATATTAATTGACCAAATTCCTACAGGTGGCTAGCAATTCATCCCAAAGTGTAGAGCTAATGCTACAAGAGAGTTGCACGGATGATTCAGGCAGCCTGGTGGTCTACACCACTGTAGACGTGGACGCGATCCAGCTAGCCATGAACGGGGAGGATCCATCGTGCATCCCTCTTCTTCCCTTAGGGTTTGTCATAACACCAATCAATAACGGACAAGCCAATATTAACAACTGTGACAACAACGTCTCAGGTACTGAGGCTAATTCATCTCAATCTTCCGAAAAGAGGCAGAACTTGTCGTCAGTTCAAGAGTATTCAGGAGGTTGCCTACTCACCGTTGGATTACAAGTCCTCGCCAGCACGATCCCAAGTGCAAAGCTCAATCTCTCTAGCGTCACTGCTATTAACCATCATTTATGCAACACCGTACAACAAATCAATGCTGCACTTGTTGCTTTTTACCCCGACACAGAGATAACTGCACCATCATCATCACCACCACAACAACCAGAGTCGTCCAAGCAAGTGGACGAAAACTCAAATTCCTAATTACCCAAAACCTCCCTCTAACAAAACTTATTTTTTGTAAGGGGAGGTTATGAGTAATTTGTGAAAAATGAGAAGCGAGGGTAAGGGGTAGGACTACTATAGTACTAGTTTGGCATAGTAGGGAAGTGGGTCCCCCATGCAAATGAAGGTTTTAATAGCCTGTACATTTTGCATGGGTGGACCCCTAGTAAATAAATGACAAGATCAGAAAGTGGTTGTTAGGTAGGTGGGAAAATCCAGTGAAATGATTGTTTATGTGTGTGTGTGTTTTTTTAATATTTTGTTGTGATTATGATTTTTGGGAAGTCAAGAACGAACCAGGTGGCAGATGAAAATGAAAATCGTTAGTGAATGGTGAGAAAATTATCTCTACGAATTAAAAAAATACTATGGTTCGGGTATTGACTTCTTTTGTTTTATGTCCTTCTACTCCCTCCTACTAGTGATTAATTTTTTGTGTTGTTGATCAGAACAATTACAATTTGCAGTTGTTTCTGCAATTGACACAAATTGTAGTAAGGTTTAATTACTAATTAGTACTTGTTTTATAGCTACATATCCTTTATTTTGGTCGAAATTTGCATACATTCTTGTTTTGGTTATAGTTTTTCTGCCTTTTGCTTTTCAAGAGTCTTCTTCATAATCAGTTTTTTTGTTTTTAATTGGTATTTAGAGAATCTTTTCTACTATCTTGACATGAAAGAAATGATTCTAAGCTTGCATAATATAAAAGTTACTCAAAACTGTTTTTTTTTAGACTGTTTTGGAAACAAGGAAGCTTTCTACAATTTGAAATAATTTACTTGAACTTTCCATTTTATTTTTGAGATGTTTTAATAGCCATACAAATGTGATGACATCTTTAAAATCGTAAATTTTAAATTTTTGGTTTTTCATACAAATGTTATGACGTATGTTGTGATCATGATTAAGTTCTAAAACTTTTAATTTCTTTTAATCATTCTATATGTCTAGTTAAATATGTTTCACTAAATTGAAATGGGGGAGCGTAATAGATATCACCAAAAAAAATGAAATTTAGCTACAAAATTTCTTGTTAAATTGCAGGTAGTTATGATAATACATTGCTAAAACAAAATTTGTAGTTTAGCTACATAATTTGTCCATCGTGAGTTTGTGATCTTAGTGTATATTGAAATATATTTGTATTTATTGAAAGACAAAACTCTCAAGTTGAAAGTCAAATTTCAAATTGAACTTTTCTTTTTTCATTTTTGGTCATTCATGGAGGAGTTAATTTGAGATACTAAAGTGAGAGAAAACATTTAATTGAGATGATGGACGGAGAAGTACAAATATATTAGTCACATATGTCTTATATTAATTAATTAGTCAAGCTATTTGTATATTTAATACCAAAAATTAAAGTTAGGACCCTTGTCTCTGATGAGTGTAAACACGAGATATATTATGTGATTACATTTGGTATTTATAAGCTTTCAAATTTTTATATTAATATGCCTCAAGATAAATATCATTGAATTCCTGTCACTTTCATGTTGAAATTAGTATCATATCCCTTTTGCATATTTGTCTGGTCCAAAATTTTGCTGGACAAATTGAGACGTTTGTTAAATGACAATTTTATAAGTGAAAAAGAAAGGGAAAATTAATTGGGTATATATAGGTCCATATATATAGGAAAAATTACCTAAATACACAACTTATTTTATCATATGATTTATAATTTCTTACCATTTAAAAAAATTACAAAAATCCATACTCTCTCCTATACTCGGATACATGTATCGGTCAGATACATCACTTTACGCGATCAGTCGAATAAATCACTAATATATATGTAGTTAACAAAAGGCAAACAATGTGAAGGCTGATTATATGTTCCTTCATCCATTTAAATTTTATGTCTATTTATATATGTAGCTCTTAGAAAACTATCCTTCTGGACAACTTTAGACTTGGGTGTAATGTTTTTCTCATATGTTACCAAGTCTTATAGACACAATTTTACTGTCTTCTAACGTTTGTAATAACTTACAGAGTTTTAGATAGTGGCGTAACGATTTCTCACAACTTTTATATATGTAAATACAACGTTATTAGTGTGGCTACATTCACATCCAAACTATATGCAGAATATGAAAATGATGACAGAGATGAGTTGCCAAAGGATTTAGTAATTGGAAATAATCATATTACTTCCAAGATTTCGTAATGAACTCAAATCCAGTGATGACTCTGATCTAACCAATTTCTCAACTATATTAATAAGGCTAAAGTTCAATTACAATTTCACGAGGTCAATGCAACAACTCAAAAGGCAAAAGCCAAATGGAAATACAGAAATATTGAAAGTAGGAACAACGATCGAATGAAGAAGGAGACGAGGAACTAGAGCCGGATGAGAGATACTGCCAAAGCATGATCATATTACGCATAAACTATTCTTCCTAACTATATGTCCTTTTAAACTTGTTGCTATTGGGCCTGGATCCCAAATCAACCTTTTCTTCTTAACTATATGTCCTTTTAAACTTGTTGCTAATTGGGCCTGGATCCCAAATCAACCTTTGTGAAGGTCTTCTGGTTCTATTTCTCAGCCCAATAGTTAATTGACCGTTTTCATGTACAACCTGGTTCTGTGAAGAAAATGTTGAATTCTTCAGGAAGAAATACTACTTTTTGAGATAATACCTGTTAGTTAGTTGAGTGACCATCCGAGAAATCAATTCTTATCATTTGTGTAAAACAAATACTCATTTTCTCTGTTCGATTGTGCTCCGTGCTTCATGTTATTCTCTTCACTCTCTTCAGAATCAGTGCTCGAATTCTTCTCAACGAGCTCTTGAAACATGGATGATCGAAGCAAAAGGCTTAGAGCAGTAGGTGATGATGATTTCCTGCAATAACTTAAGGGCATTTTTCTTTCAATAGGTTCCTGGCTACGCGGTATAGCATACAGTTTTTCAGTATTGGTGGTGGTTGTGAAATGATTATGGTTAAACGAGTATGAAGAGTCGTGTAACGGGTTAATCATATCATTAGTGTTACTAGTTTGTATAGGCTGATCTTCTGATGTTAAATCTTGAAATTGCATTACAGAATTGGCATCTGGTTTTAACCATCTAATGTATGTGTTCATGTCAAAGTTTGTCATCGCGTTAGTTCCCCTGTATTCAATTGCTGCAATATCATAAGCTCGAGCTGCCTCTTCTTGAGTATCTATTGAAAACAAATAGTAAAAAATGTTTCGAGTTAGAACCAATTCGAATGTGTTGTTGATTTGATCAGAACTTTGAAAGAAATTAGTTAAAGGGTGCGAAAAACACTTACTATAAGTACCTAAGTATAGATATTTGTTACCAAAAACTCGTCCTATTCTTGCTTCCCATCTGTTATTGTGATGATGCCTGAATGAAATTCGATGAATTTTTCGTTACAATTATGGACATAAACGTACTAAAAGACTCGAATAACATTGTCTGATCGATTATAATGTGTTAATTTACCTCGCAACTCCTCTATACTTGGATACTCCGCGGGCAAAACCACTGCTTCTTCTGTTGAAAAAACAGAACAAATTTCGTTAATTGAAAAAATTACTTGATTTTGAGGTGTAAATTCTGGTGTAATGTGTACCTTCTTAAAGAGGCTAAATGTTCTTCCTTTGTCATATTTTGCATGATCTCAATTTCTTTCTCATAATCAGATATCTACAAATTAAGAAAGTGTTAGAACAATATGCTTCTATCAAACTGCATAATCGATCAGTTGAAGTGTGTGACCATCTCATCTTACAGCTTAATACATACCGGAAAATTGGTGAAAGTTGTTGTGCCCCAATACTTGATTGCAGCCAAATCATAAGCTCTTGCTGCTGATTCTTCTTCGTCGTATGCCCCTGCTCATTTTAGTACATAACATAAATAAGAAGCTGCAAATTTAGCATATGACTCGAAATTTTGGAGTTTTTTTAGCACAAGTTATTAGGACTCACCAAGATAGACTTGTTTTCCCTTCTTTTTCTGAGTTACATTCCATGAAGCCTTATCCCATAAATGAGCTTCGTATCGCCCTGTCCATCGATGCCTGAAAATCCAATACGTTTATCAAATTTTAGCTTTCAAAAACATGTAATTGTACTTCCTCTGTTTCAGTTTGTTTGTCTGATTTTGACTTGACACAAAGAGTTTAAGAAAGTAAACTGACTTATGAATCTTAAAGTATTAAACTACAGATACGTTGAACGTACCAAAATGTGCAGAAAGTTAGAATTAAAGAGTTGTCAAAAATGGAAAGAGACGTTCTTTTTTAAACCAGATAATTGACTACCTGCTAACACCTCTGAATCTTGAACTTCTCTTGACAGTACGAGTTTGTACAATACTACTACTTTGATCAACTTTTGATGAATCCAATTTTTGGCCATTGTTGTTGTTATCATTCACTATAACTGCAGCTACCGGAGATTTTCGTCGTCTTTTAACACATTTATTATTAACTGGAATATCATAATCCACCATACATAAACTTCTTCTATTTCCAGGGCTCAACTTCTCACATTTAACACTAATTGCATTCATCATCTCTATTGTATTGTAAAATTTAGAGCTTTCTAATTTCTTTAATTTGATGCTTTGTTACACTACAGATTAATTATCTATGTTGTATATTTATATATCTACAAATAGTTTTGTCTTGGACTTAATTAGATGTCGATGATTTCTATATCTGGAAAATGTAATTATATTACCAATTTCTCTGTCTCCACGTACAAAGTTTTATTTACATTATTTTACTTTTTTCAGACACAAGATTTACTAGTAGATTAAACTAATTTTTCTTTGTTCCAATTTATGTGGTATCTTTCGGATTTTAGGAGACTACCAAAAAAAATATTGACAGCATATTTCATGTCTTTTTAAATATTTTGAATTATAAATTAATATGACTTATATTACTTTTACTTAGTATTTAAATATGTAAATTTTATTTACAAAAACTTAAAGGTGCTGGTCCCGAATTCACTATCAAAAAATGAGAAGTTGATTCTTGAAATC